TCCACCGTTTCGCCTATCTTCTTAGAAAGAAAGTATGAAGGAAGGATTAAGGTATGATAAAAAGTCCCAGCTTGCCTAGCTCTGACTCTTGATGACATCGTTCAGCTTAAGAAGTTGTGAATTTGCTTTAATGGTGGCATTTGGATTGGCCCTTTGACCATTTTGAAATTCTCCAATCTCAGTGAGAACGGCTTTTTAGAATGCATGATACAGTGGAGCTTAACGAAAAATCAAGCAATTGGTAGTTTATCTTTTCAATGACAATCAAATTCCTGACGAATGATGCCAAGAATTGAGCATTGACTATTGCCGATCGTACTTTTTGTGCCTCTTATGCACTTTTCATCGTATAATCTAGCCTCATTCCATTGCATATTATTGATATAACAACCCTTATTAACTAATTCTTGTAAACAGTAGGACTGGAGCCATTACTCTTTGTCTGGTCCTCATGGTCGACATGGTCTGCATGTCCAGTGGCCTGCAATGGCGGCAAACAAGTGCGCCAAAGGAGCTGCAGGTCTAGAGACCAGGCGGGGCTGTTGCTCCAAAGTAGCAATGTTCTGGCCCAATTCAACGCCTCCGGCTTCTCCTGCTTTGGCGCAAGTGCGGAGCAGAGGCGATGCAACCAGCAGCTTTGTCCTGGTAAGTTGACACTAGACCGGCTGGGTTTATCACTTTACTTACTCGAAGTTTACATATTTGAATATAAAATAATTAACAGGCTGATGGCAGGCTAGTTTATGATTCACTTTGATACACGATTTCAAACGTCAAGGGGAGTGGTTTACTTTTTAGTACATTAAGAGATGTTTTGCAGAAAATCTATCTTAGTATTTGAATAGATATGAAGTGAAATTGGGTTTGAATGAGATGAATGTGGTGACTTTCAATTCATATGAAAGTGATTGGTGCAAATATTCGCCTAATAAGATGATAACTGAACCCCGTTGATCCTCAGTAGCTTGATACGACTATGAAGGTTAGGTACACATTGCACGAGACATCCTCCTGCAGTGCAGATGAAAACCATGTTAGCCGTCTTTTGCCATATGACCGAGATACTCATAGCTAGGTCCCATTCTTACAAAAGCCTAGAGCAAACAACAAGTCAAGTATAATTTTTTTCCTTATCTTTTATGCTATCAAATACTGACAACGGAAAAAGAACTGAAAATATATAAGTAAACAGGCATAGATACATAATGATATGGTCAGTACTCTATCGTGTGTGGGTGTAAAGGTGTCTGTAAGTATTCAAATCAGAATACACAACTACACTTCATAACACTAAGAAATTATAGCAGGGCGTAGCATCATTCCAGAGCCATCATTGTTTACTAACACAAGAAGAGACATGAGTGTAAGTGCAGGAACCCGAACAAAGTACTGGTTGAGTTGATGTACTTTAAGGGTGCATGGAATGAATTCGAATATGGTTGGAAGTATCATCAAGCCGAGCATTTGCTACTGCTGTTTTCTGCTTCTTCCTAAACGAATGGGTTGTTTCGACAGGGCAAAGAGGCTATTCAAATTTTGTGTGTGTGTATTGGTCAGAACTTTAAGCGTTTTTGAAGACTTAACTGCTTCGTCTGGTATTCAAATAATCTGATGAGCATTGCTGGAATGCTGATCAAAGGTTTGATTGGGCGTCTGGTAGACCGCAGATCTTAAATAGACATTGGAAATGTCTCAGAAGCTATGTAATAAAACATCTTAATTCAATTGGAAACCGCCAATGCTTTTGTATGAGCAGATTATTTTTACATATTTTCACGCAAAAGTAGTTAACATGGCCTTTTTACTTTGATTATATTTCTTTGGGGCTCATTAGGAAAGCCACTGAGATTGAGAGTCAACAACATTCACGGAGCAGCACATAAACTAAAGAAAATTACCAGACTAAAATTAGAGAAGGCTAATAATAGGCTATTGAATAGAGGGAAGAATTTCTATCAATTTTCTTAAATGATAAAAGGCATTGGGCTTAAGGGAACTAGTGGGGAGTTTCAACGTACAGTCTATGCATACGAACATCGAAGAAGAGAAGACACTCACAGTAAGGCTAGAGATCTTGCAAGGAGAGGATGATATCCTGAAGACTGAGCGATTCCGAAATGAGGTTATTCGCTTTTAGGGGATCCTGAATAAAAGGATGTATAGAAAGTAATTCCTCGAAAAAATAATCCTAGATTTTTTTATCTTATAATTATAAACAGAAAATCGAAGTCCTCAGGAGCCAAGGGAACTTAAAAGGGCAGTAGGATTGAGGAAAACATTCTTGCAGATCCGTCCTCGGTAAGGCAGCCCATACGTTATAACATACGTTCGGAGTCGGTCATGTGAATAAATCCTCGAATATGACCGGTACGTTGGCCAGGATCGAAGGTTTCATGGCTAAACACTTAAATAAAATAGAAGAGAATAGCTCAAATAAGTTTTAAGAACTATGCCTCAATAAATCCGCTTGGAGGCGAGCACGTTTAGAAGAGATTGGAATAAGCAAAGATACACAGAAGTCTCGATAGGAGAAATTTAGACACATCAAACGGGATTAAAGACGATTATGCAGGGCTAGGAGTATATGGCAAAAGGAGGAAGAGAGACAATACAATTGTTAAAGAACAAATTGTCTTCATTTATTACTTTGATGAATGACTCATCTCCCTGATGATGTCGTGGAAACCTCTGCGAATGTATCAAGTCAACTGCCCGATCTTGGAAATTATCATAACTACTATGACAGAAGGTGCAGGACTGGATACGTACTACGCGGTATTCCCATCATCCAGAAACATATTGCCATCAAGCCCAAAGCCACACCATCTTTGTTTACATAATACGATTTAAAAATATCCTGCTTTCAGTGTGAATATGTAGGCTTCACATTCTAATGCACTTCTATGTATTTTACTTTTCCGCAATAGTATTTAGAGTGAGCTCAATCTGGACGCAGTGGTATGGCCTTAGTAAAGCTGTCAACGAGGAAGAAGCTTTGAAGAGCACAATAGGGCCTCGAATGCAACGCCGTTTCCGTGTCGAGTGCCTGGGTAGAGTCCCCGAGGCGGATAGATTGAATGCCAAAGTACACCGAGAAACCCGCTGGTGCCGAGCGAAACAAAACAGTATGGAAAGTAGCTGCCAAAATACAGGTTAGATATTTTGTTTGATAAACTTCATTCTAAAGTAAGTAAAAGTAAAGAAAAATTATGATGGCCTCCGAGTTGAGTTCTGTTTCGGTCTACCCTGAATACCTATGTTAAATTTAATGTAAACGTATGGTCTACTCATATCATTATGGGAAAATTCAACTGCCAGTCCTTAATCACCCTAAATGAAAAGGGATGAGCACATATCATATATGTTATGGTTATTCTTAATATAGGTTATCCTGATTGCAGGTTTTGAAACACTATGCATTAACTCCTTTGGGATTGCATTTTTGCAGTTTATATCTAGTAAATAGACTGTATACATATATGCATACAAAGATACATGCATATATAAATTAGTCGTGATAATGATATGAAAGACGGAAGCCCAAGTTATTTCCACCGGCCTCTAACGAGATTGCAACACTAACCGGGATGATTTAGTTAAACCAAACGAGAGCAGGCCTGGGTGAACCCACTGTAGTCTTCTGGTTGGATCAATCTATGAACCTCTTCAGCATACACTTCTTCTATAGATGGAAATGAGTTCAATCAATTTAAACCCGACAGCCTAAGAAAACTTTTATTTGTGATTTACAAGAGTTAGCCTAGGCGATCCTTCAAAAAGTGCAATATTTTATGCTATTAAACAAAAAGACATAATGGGATAGGCTAAATACATTGCTCTCTAGCTCTTAAGCTGACCGATAGGTGACTATTTATACACAGTATTCGCAGAATTAGGCAGTCTTTCAGACCTATTTTAAGGTAATTTTCCAGTTCTGAGTAGTTTAAATCAAGTAAATTGTATGCTTTTCCATACCAGAAACTGGGGAGCAAACAAACAAACAGCCGGAAATGGAGACAAGCCCGACAACTGCGAACATGGGTACCTTATCCAACAAGACAACAGACTTCGGCGAGAATCGTCAGGCCTGGTCAGCCTGGACCACATGTAGTCGCGCCTGTGACGGAGGCATCCGTTGGCGGACGCGTCCGAGTCACCGTATTCGCCAGCAGCAACAACAACCGATGAGGCCTTCTGCTGTACATATCAATCGAAGGCCGAGAGACACTTCGAGCTCGGAAACTATGAGCTACTCTCCTGCTCAAAAGAGGACACTCCAGGCTCTCGAGTCATCTGACGAACTAGAAACGCCGATAGAAACTGATCTACTTCAGGACCTATCGCAAACCGAAATAATGGAAGAAGCATGCAATCTCCATCCCTGCATTGGTGAGGCATAAATGCAGACATTTTTTCACAGATTTTCTCCCAAATAATTTTTTTCCAGCATCCGATACCCTGATACCAATGTACAGTTATTTATCAAAGCTTGTTTTTACCTTTATTACACAAGAAATAGATATATCAGGATCCTTCGATTCACTTCACTACTACTACTAATCTTTCGAGGCTTCACCACTATAGAAGCATTAAATTTTCCGAATATGAATAGAAATAGGGTTTTGACGAGTCGTCTGATAGGAAATTTCAGGACTGAATTCTAGTATTAATAAAATTATGAAGTAAATATACTTTGTCTCAAGGCAAAAACCAATTTTCTCCAGCCTTATGTGGTTTGATTGCAGTGAGAGACTTAAACTGAAAGCCTTCGGACGCTATTTGGCTCCTGCTCAAGGACTCTAGATCAAGGTACATAAGACACATCGCCGTTGCTAGGCTGCATTCTTATAATACTTAAAAGCTGGAACGAACAGTTGCCTCAAGAATTAATTCTCAAAACATGGGCCAGTTTAAGACCTAAAATGATTTGATTAATAAATTTATGTGCGTGCGTTTTTGGGCATAAACGGAACTGGCTAAACAATAAATTAAACAGAACTATTCCTTATCTAACAATAATAAAATAACATATTCGATGGGCTAGTAAAGACGTTAAGCCTTATTCATATATTCATTGTGATTCAGTTCTTAATCAAGATCCTTAAGTGAATGTATGTAGCGCTTTCAATCGCAATGGCAAAATATAAGTTTATATTCATATAAATTAAGTTTTAAAACTATCATTAAATTGTGAATAAGAGTTCCAGTAACCCCAGGTAGCATGAGGGAATGAAAGATGAATAGTGAGGTCTACTCATATCGCTGAGGGAAAAGCAAATTATCAATCCTTCATTAATCGAAGGTATGAAGACCAAGATGGTGTGGCCTTTTGTGCGGTCGCAGTCTCCTTTCGTTGTATAGAAGTTGTTTGACCTTGTTTTCGCAACTTGGTCACATTGGTAAGAAGATTTAGAGGAACGCACCTAGTCCGGAGTCCATTGTGTGCATAATCATTTCCAAATTCGGACCGTGGACGTGGTGCATTCGCAGACGTTTCGCAGACTTATTTGTCTCTTTGACGAGTTGTTGTATGATGCTAAGAATGGCGATACTCACTGACGATGCCGACTACGATGCCAGCGAAACGTCTGCGAATGTACCACATCCACGGTCCAATTTGGAAATGATTATGCATACAATGGACTCAGGACTAGGTGCGTACCTCTAAGTCTTCCTTCCAATGTGACCAAGTTGCGAAAACAAGGTCAAACAAATTCAATCCTTTGTTAAGTTATGCGACCTATACTACTCTTATTCAAAATATAACC